GGAGGAAAGGAAAGGAAAGGAAGGAAGGAAGGAAGGAAGGAAGGAAGGAAGGAAGGAAGGAAGGAAGGAAGGAAGGAAGGAAGGAAGGAAGGAAAAGAAAAGAGAAATCAGGGAACAAGGGAAAATGGAGTGGCAATAACGATCCAGTACAAACAGTGGAACGGACTCAAATAGTTTCCTTCTCTTAGACAGAGAAGCCTGGCTTCTCAACTTTCCATGCTCAGTCCCATCCTTGCTAAGCTCAGAGTCACACCAGCATCCTTCCTCCCTGAGTCCCTGCAGTCAGCAAGGTTAAACTGAGCTCAGTCCATGGACAGGGGCCATGCAACTTTGATTTTTAACTATCCACTGAATTAGATGAGATAGAAGTAGAGAACCCATAGGTCACATCTTCTAGCTTCTTTTACCTCAGCCTAGGCACATGAAGAACAGCCAGGATTTGCTACATTTTCATGTTCTAAGTGCTCATTAAGCAGGTTAAAATGCAAACTCACTATACCTCAACATGGAGGCAGCAAATACTGATTACTGTGTTACTACACCATCATATTCTAGCTTGAGTGGCCAACGCTTTGTGATGGGACTTAATGATTTTTTTTTGAAGCAAGGTCTCCCTATGTAGCCCTGGCTGTCCTGGAACTCACTATGTAGACCAGGTTGGTCTTGAACTCACAGAGCTCTGCCTACCTCTACTTGCCCAAGTGCTGGGATTAAAAGCATGCGTCACCATGCCCAACTGGGACTTAATGATTTTAAGGCTGGCAGTGTACTTGAAAAACCATGCTAGACATCTGCTTTATGAATTGAACTTCTGTAAGCAGAGATTCATCAAATTTTCAGAAGAAAGGCAGATAAGCACAGACTGTGAAACTCAGTGTCTCCTCCCTACAGACTTTGCCAGCTCCAACACTGATATACTCATGTTTCATGGGGCCTCTTACTTCCTCATCACCTCTGTCTTTTTTCTCTCTTTCCAGGGATCTACCCTGAACTTCATAGACAGGTTGAGGTGTCTATGAAATATATCTCTGTCTCATTGTGTTGGCTCAAAGTCAGATTGAGAAATAAGGTAATGAGACATGACAAAGAAAACAAGTTTGTGGAAGACAAACCTAGCAGTTATAGCACTCTTCCTGGCAAAAGAAGTCATTAAGATCCCATCACTACCCACATTTCTCTAGTCCATGTTTTGTATTCACTTGAGATGCCTACCTGGGCCTCCATGGCAGGTCCCCACTCCATTAAGACACCATTTTTTCCTGAGCCCAAGCAGGTGACACTTTCCTTTCTAGGCTCCATCTTCTGAGAACACCCTGAGTACATGTTTTTTTCTGGGGCTCATGGTGCCAGTTCACCTCCTCCCAAAAGGCTGTATGGCTTGGTACAGTCTGAAGCTTTGGTCAGTGAGTGGTAGGTTTGATCCCAGCCTGCCATGCCAGCTGTGGCATTATGGATCTCTCAGTTCTTCTAGGACTGAGCCTCTGTCTCTTCAGCCATGAAATGGTCATCATGTCATCTGCCTCCTAGGACTTTTAAGATTATAAGGGGAGCTGCCAGGAGATGGTGGCACACACCTTTAATCCCAGTACTTGGGAGGCAGAGTTTGAGGGCAGCCTGGTCTACAGAGTAAGTTCTGGGGCAGCTAGGACTATACAGAGAAACCTTTCTCTCTCTCTCTCTCTCTCTCTCTCTCTCTCTCTCTCTCTCTCTCTCTCACACACACACACACACACACACACACACACACACACACACAAGACTACAGGGGAGCATAAATTTGCTTAACACAAGCCCAGCACACAGTAGGTGCTTATTATCTCCATTTTCCTATTTCTGATATCTTAATGTATACCTTGCATGTTCTATACTATTTCGTCCTCAAATATAAGAAATAAGGATTTCTAATCAAAAGCAGTATTGGTGATGGTTAAGTGTATATGTGATCCCGTCAGTGACACAGGGACAAAAAGAGTGGGTTTGGTGATGGCAGTGAGGAGTGAGCCAGGTCGGCGAGGAGGCTGTGTGCACTAGAGAGGACAGGAGAGGGACCCGGCACCAGCAGAGGCAGAAGACTAATCGTGGTAGTGAGCCCAGACCAGAGAGGAGGTGAGCGAAGCCCAGGGCCCTGCAGCCACACTGTGGGGTGACATCCCAGACCAGAGAGCAGGTGAGAGAAGCCCAGGGCCCTGCAGCCACACTGTGGGATGACATCTCAGACCAGAGAGGAGGTGAGCGAAGCCCAGGGCCCTGCAGCCACACTGTGGGGTGACATCTGCTGTGAAGTCTGATTAGCCTTTCAGCAAGAGAGAGTGTTGGAAAGTGGGGTTTTTAGGATTGATTTGTATTATATTTAAGCATATATGTATGGGGGAGAAGTATGTGTATATAAGTACAGATTCCTGAGGAGGCCAGAGACATTGGATCCCTTGGATCTGGAATTCCAGGTGGTTGTGAGCCGCCCATCCTTAACTATTTAGCCATTTCTCTAAACCCCCTTTTAAATGAATTAATTCTTTATTTCTTTTTGAGACAAGGTCTCACTGTGTAGCACTGACTGGCCTGGAACTTACTATGTACACCAGGGTAGCCTTGAACTCACAGAAATAAGCCTGCCTCTGTCTCCTAGAGTGCTGGGATCAAAGGCATGTGCCACCATACCAAGCTTTTTAATTTGTTTAATTGGGATAATAACAATATTTAAAATATCTTAAAACAGTCCCCTAAGTGCAAGTCACCAGGTCACCACCAACAGCGCTGCTGTACTCAGTGTGTAGTAAACATTCCATTTGTCTTTCCGTGTGTTTGGAATGGGTCCTGAGACGTGCTAGACCCAATAAGCAACACAGAACCTAGAAAACAATGCCTTTACACCAGGAATTTACGTCCACTTCGAGTCTAATACAGTTCTTTTTTGATTTAAAAGTAACATGAACTCACCGTAATTTGGAAAGAGAACTTTTTTTAAAGATAGGTATGGCTATAAATGTCTATAATCTTAGCAGTCATGAGGCTGAAATGGAAGGATTGCTTTGAGTCTGAGGCTAGCCTGGGCTACATGATAAATTCTAGGCCAACCTAGGCTACTTAATAAGTGCTTGTCTCAAAAACAAACAAACAAAGCCTCCCCCGAACAAACTCAAAAGGGAAGTGCATCCCC